TAATGCGAATGTGTGTGTGTGTGTGTATGCGGAGTCGTGCACGAGAAACACAGACAGACGGCAGGGTCGGTGCAAACGCAAATGTCGCGAAAAATTAAGGGACGACGTGACGTGTACGCGCGACGACTGAATTCAGCATCTTTTCAGTCTCGTAATTTTCCCCCTCGTTAAGCTTCGTTGTTGCGTCTGCGTGAAAATAAAAAACCCTTTCGCACACGCTCCAATGTCAAGCGATGAATCGAACGAAAGCGTGAAATTTCGAGCCGGCTTTCGCGAAGAATTTGCGCAAACCTCGCGGGAAAGCCCCCGAACCGCCTTGAGAACGGCGCGCACGACGTTATTCCTCGAAGGAACGGGCTTTTTGTCGCCGGGATAGGAACCGGCAAGGGCAGAGCGCGATTACCGCATTCGCGCAGTGCGCCTGCCGCATTTCGTAACCCAGACGAGCCGGGAAGCGCTCCGTCGAATACAGAAGACGCATCCGAGCGACCTGCGCGCGCGAAAGCGAGGAACCGCGCCCTGACTCGCCCAATGCCTACCTGCATCCGCAAACATTGCGTAAGGGCTCGGAAATGGAACGCGCGAGATTGTCTCGCGGCTCGGGAAGCCGGGTAACGGGCGGCCGTGATGATCGCGGCGATAATATCACTCTCGTAAAAATCACTGAAAATTTATCGCCGGAAGAAATTTCAAGAGTCATTGTGTTTTATTGCGTCACCTTTTAAAGAGCGGAACGCGGACGTGAACAAATTACGCGGCTTTTTCACAGATTGCGTCGCAAATTTCTTCGTCCTAGTCCAAATTGCACCTGCAAAATACGCGATGAATTCATTGCGTTCAATCAAATTGAGCGCGGCATATTTTTAATAAATAAACAAATTAATTAATCAATAAAGCACAAATCGCGAAATTGGAACATGTCGATACAAAGAAATTCTTAGAATGATCCGCGTGCAAATGTGACTTGAAGTGTTCTAAAGAAACGACGAGAAAGAGACAAACAAATGTGAGAACGTCGTCGTTTCTTCAAGGAACAAACTCCTCGCCGAGATCGCGTCTCCGAAAATCGTCGACCCTCCCTCGATCGTCCTCTCCCCCTGACCTGATGCCTGGCGCGACAAAAGAACCCACGTCCGTGTCGTGGTCGCGCCGAGCCCACCCGGCGCGATCGAAAGTCATCCAGTCGTCGGCATCCTGGCTCGCAGCCAGCTGACTTGGCGAGAACACACCACCGTAGCCGCGTACACCCACACGTGGACGCGCACCACCTGCCTACCACACGTACAACGACCCCGTGAACTTGAACTTGCTGGTCTCGTTCATCTCGCCTCGTCGCGTCGCGTCTCGTCTCGTCTCGTTTCGTCTCGTCTCGTCTCGTTTCGTCTCGTCTCGTCTCATTTCGTCTCTTCGCGTCTCGGTGTGGCGTGGATCAGGTCGGCGCGAATCGTTCGCCGAAACGTCGTTATGCGACGCGAAAAGAAAAGGGCCCACGATCTGCATCCGCGCGTCGGCTCGAGGAAGAGCAGCAACGGAGACGACGACGACGACGACGTTGTACTTCGCGTACATGAGACGAAGAAGAGAAGTGCGTTTGTTCGCGGAAGGGGACAAGTGGGGAACACACGGTGATGTTAATCGCTACCAGGAAACAGCAAGGGCTCCTTCATAGCGAGGCCTGCACCACCTCGCCGCCGCGGCAACATGTGCGTTGCCTCGCGCGTGTCAGGATCCGGGCGCACGGCCGCGGCCAAGACCCCCGCCGGTCGGCTCAGCCGGCTCTTCCCTTCAGTTTCTAAACTTCAAGAAGCCGCGAACGAGCGAATGTATGTACGAACAGACGAACGAAAGAGAGAACGAGCGAGCAAGCCGGCTAGATTTCAAATGCACCGAGCGACGCGCGCGGGCGAATCTTTATGCCGCCATATGGCGGCCTCTTCCCTCTGTTCTCCCGCCGGTTTTATACTCCCGTCAGACAAGTGCGGGCTGTTGTGAATGCGATTACGTGCTTCTCGCATAAACGCGATGCCGTAGCTGCTGTTGCTGCTTCTGCTGCAACAGCGGCGACGGCGGCGGACCGGTAGCCAGCGTCGTAGCCAGCTCCTCGCATATCGCGCTCTCGGCCTCGCCAAATTATACCGACACACGTCGACTACGCAGGGTCGTTTAACCCTGAAGAGCCGGCGCGAAAGAATGTTCCGTGTGATATCGATGAAGCTAGCGAGGCTGAACGAAGATAATCCTCCGGATGGAGGATGCAACGCAACGGATTGCATTGAGAAGATGCTGGTTGCCTAGACATAATGCAGTTTTGTAGTTTGTACTAGTTTATTTGGTTGCAATTCTATGAAACCAAGTAGACGTTGAGAAAATATCTGGTATTTGTAACTGTAATCGTATAGAGAAATAATTATTCTAAATTATGGTTAAAAAATCATTTTTTTCAATTAAATTCTACTACAATGATAATAACCTTATCCTGTTGCAACAAACAAAAAATATGATTGAGGACAAAAATAATTATATTTTTAGGTGGATCAGCCACTCTTTTTTCTTAGTGTACGAAACTGTATTATATCGGTATCCAGCGTCTCTTCAAAGTGATGCTGGATATCGACATAATACAGTATCACAGTTTTCTCTTTTCTTCTAATTGGATTTCCTCAAATTGAAAATGTTTCTTTCAGAATGAAAATACAAACGTAAATGAATTGGCTGATGCCAAACAGTCGCATGAAGCAAACAAAAATTTTTTATAATCGGTCGGTAAATAGAAAAATTTTTGTTGATTTTATGCAATTGTTTAGCATCAGTCATTCATTAACGTTTGTACTTTCACCCTGAAAAAAAGCATTTTCAATTTGAGGCATCCAATTAGAAGAAAAGAGGAAACTACGTTATGTCGGTATTTACTATCTTAAGGGGTGGAAGATCAATAAGAGCGTTTAGAATTGGCGACAGACCTCGTTCCCAGCCGCAGGGAATCGATCGGCTTAGAATTTGTCGTCGAATCTCCGGAATCTAGAGATACTATTAGAACGTCTCGGAGAAGAGGTCTCCTTTAGCCACTCAGCTCTCTGATATCGACAATCGGCGAACGACTCGGCGCGCACTCATCCTTGGTGCATCACCAACCTGGCCGGAGGACGAGGTAACTCGGTATGCGGGTCACCCCGTTGGCCAGTCAGCGTATCGCGAGATGCATTGTCCGATCAGATAACCCACGAGTTTACGTTATCTCACGGCCGCTACCGCATAACTCCTCGCGTTGCTCGCTCACTCAGCCGCTCGTTCTCCCCCGTGTACGTTCGCGCGTGCTTTCAGTCGCCGTATTGTGCATTTGCGCGGCTTGATCGAACTCGGCAAATTCCAAATTCGCACGTCTGCCCTGCCGAATGCCACAGACACCGTTCGCGAATCCTAAGCTCGAGGAAGAAAACAAAAATTTAGAATTACACACTTACATCCAATACTTTGGAAATTACCACTCTGCATTCAACAAAAATATCTACCACAGACATATACTTAGTCATAACGATTACACGCGGAGGAAAAGACAGACAAATGCAACGAAACGTCGAGAAATGTTAATTATGCATGCGTGCGATAATTCTGAAGCGTCGAGTCAATTACCGTAATAACCGCGAACGTCGCATGGAGCAAAGTGTTAAAGGGTTCGCAGCCATCCGCGGTATGTGCGTTCCTCCGATAAGTGGTCGAAGCTACGCGTAGTTACGTACGCTCTTAAGGTACGCTGTCGATGGGAATACAGTGCGAGTACTTACCTTTAGTTGCGAGGAGACGATCGCCTTTCTCAGAATTAGATAAGTCCCTTTATTGGTGATATCGGATCACAGCGGCAGCAACGGCGGCAGCAACAGCGACGGCGGCAGCAAGTTCAAGGTTGACCGGGTAAAAATAGCCGGACCTTGCCGGACTCTCTCTCGCTCGCTCGAGAGAAAACGCGTTGCCTCACTCGCTGCTTCTGTTGGCTCCGTTCGACCGGAAATGTACTGTCCACCGCTGATCGCGAGGACACGTGCAGAATCGTCCCTTTGAATAATTCCATCAGCTATCGGTCGGCCCCAAAAGCGATCAAGACGATTAGTCCTTCAGGTCAACGACCGGTCCATTACGTCGAAATTTAAAAGCACGTGCGCGTACACCTGTTTCTTTCGATAATTTCCTTTCGATTTACGGAGATTTACGGAGATTTCAATCGACCAGCCATCAAATGTGCCGAAAAGTTGTTTAAAAAAAAAAATAACATTCCTTATCGATTGGGCATTTAAGGTCGACATAAATCTAAGACCAAATTAAACTAATGGCCATTAATGTAACAGCTAAAAAGGATGAAGAAACAGCGGCCGCGACAAAACCGTCGGATAATTAGCGACATGAGGCACGAATCGGCCGGCATCGTGACGTCGGTAATGGACACTGGAATTTGTCGATCGTGGCAAGAAGCGGCGGTACGTACGGAGGTGCCGTTAACGGTGCCCCGTCGTTGTGGCTCTCGCGAAAAAAACGTACTTACACCTCACGCGCGCAAGAGGAGCGCTCGGAATGACTCGGGCGACCTTAGTCGTGCACCCAGAAGGAACACCGTCCGGCACGTGAACCCTCGACGACAAAGGTATAACGAGGTCGAGCGTGTCAACGGCTCTATCACGCAACGGTCCCCGGCCGCGTGCCTCGCGAGCCTAAATCTCGCGAACTAGGTAAAGAGCACGCGAGAAAAGTCCGACGGACGAACCGGACCTCCGCGGGGTCGGGTCGCCGAAGTCGCGACGACCTGGCGAGAGCCAAGGCGACGCCAAGTGTGCTCTGGCAGTGTCGCGTTATCGTGCGTTCGAACGTCGCGTTGGTTTTCAACCGACAATCGACTCGCTGGAGTCGAAAATCGTAGGATAAACGCGGGAGGATGATGGGACGGGCGCGACGTGGCAGATCATTCGTTCCTTGCCAGTCTGTGAGGGATAAAAAGAAAAAAAGTAGCAGTATTGTATATACTAAATATCGTATAATATTACCGTATAGGTACATAACATAATAACGCTAAAAGGGGCTCAACGTCACTTTTTATTGAATATTCAAAGTGGTAACACTATAGTAGCGACATTTCTCATAAGTGTAATAAACGATTAGCCTAAAAACTTCCGTTCTAAAATCATCGTCGTCTTCGCGGTTCATCATGATCGTCGTCATCGTATCGAATTGTATCGGCAAATAGCTTTTCCTGAGACGAAATACAAACGAGTTGTGCTTCGTCACATGATAATACACGTATATAGATTTAATAGATATTGCGGGAATCTAGCATAAAATCGGGCGTGTATGTGTCCGTGTGTATGCTGCGTGAATGTGTGTGTGTGTGTGTGGATGCGAGTGGTAGGTGGAAGTGAGAGACTGGTGTATTTATATATGTATAATTATATATAATATGTATATATAATTATATATAATTATATATACCTATATACATTCATAGGTATAGGTACACTTACGGTGTGGGAGTTATCTCGGAAGCGGGAGAGCCGCAGGGCGGGATCCCGCTTCCGGGATACATCGTACTCTAAAAATCACGATGTCTATCTTATATGACAATTGTCTACCTAATAATCAGGCGTTCCAACTTTTGTTTTTCTTTCTTTCCCTCTTCTATCTCTCTCAAGCACGGGCTACCATGAACTCGATCGCGCAAGCCGATCGTTGTCGGCCGCGACAAGATCGACGTATGCAATTTCATAGTGAAAGACCGGAGTGAGTCTCGGATGGAGCTATATGTTACATCGAAACAGCGAAAATGGATCGTGAGCTCGTGAGGGAGGGACGGATGGTCTTATCGTGGGTGGCAATATTATTCGCGCGGGTGGTGAGTCTATTGCACTGCTCTACGTCTATTGCAGAGAAGGGGGCTCGATGATATAGATAAACGCTGTGTGATATGCTCGGAATACAATTGCAAACTATACCCTGATTGTTATCGTACATCTAGTTGGCGGAGATTATCGACAAACTCTCCCCCTTTCGACAAGAGAAACAGACCGCGAGAAACAGACCATCGAGACGCGTCTTCCACTACGTGAAACTTTTCGTCCAAATTTTGCGTACAAACATCCCACTCGTTTTCGTATTACAATCGTAATCACAGCGGCAAAACGATGACTTTATAAAGAATCATGCTGGAACATTAATATTATATGATTATAACGAATTATAATTAACGAATTATTTAAACCAAAATGTTTAACGCGTTCAGTCGATTGTGCATAGACCTTTTCGCGTTCTCTTGACATCACTAAGGCCGCATCCCGCACAGATATGGACGTCAATTGAAAAAAGAGAAGGGGATAGTTTGCCGATAATTCCTTTTGTGTATTGGCGATTGCATGCTGCACTCGCGCAATCGATTTCACCCGGCCACTTGTCGCGTTCCTTCCGCCTCGGAACATTTGCTTGTCTTCGTATGAATTAATTGGTCACTTACGGCGACCGAGAACACGCGCATTAAAAAGTCTACGAATGATATACTTAGAAATTAGTGAAAAATAATGACAGTGTGTGTACATCGTCGGTGCTTTGCGTGAACTTTTATCAACTTCATCGACATTCTCTCTCTTTCTCTCTTTCTCTCCTTGTCGTGGAGGTTCGGATAAAAAATTGAGCTAAAAACGGCGTCGAGGAAGAAGATGGTAGGGGAAAAAGAAAAAAGATGCCAAAGCAAACGAACACGCCGAAGGACGAGAGGTATGAACAACTTCTCGTTCGCACACACAGGCGTGAAGTTCATTTTTCTCTTTCTCTCACCTACTCTGCCTCTTTCTCTCTCTCTCTCTCTCTCTCTCTCTCTCTATCTCTCTCTCTCTGTGTCTCGACGCATCGATTCTGAATCCTGGCGAAGTATCGTCAGCAAACGATACTTCACCGTCTCTGGCGACATTGAGAAGTACTTACGCTTAAATAAGACCTCGACGTGTTTCGCGGAATCTGACTCGCCGCTGCGTTCCCAGCTCGCGATCGTTTGCGATTTTCCGTGGGAAAATTAAAAATCACGAGAAAGCAGCGGAAGAGTCTCCGTGCACGGGCGGGCATTTCTTTTAAATTTTGTCATTCGTGCGACCGAGAGCACTTTCTTACGGATTTCACCGATCGGAGGAGGTATTTTCATATGCTTCTTGTGACGTTAAAGCGACGACGAGCGGACAGCCTCACCCGGAAGGAGGACTTTCTTCTCCGTCCGAACTATGTACGGTTTCTCGAGCGGAACGGCGCGGTGTAACAAAACGATTTCGCCCGGGCTGCGCGGGTGGGCTCTTCTTCTGCTTGCCAAGTCGATATAATTCACAAGAGTTTAGACGATGCTTCCGGATAACGTCGAGGTTTTCTCGTAGATGCGATTGCTTCAGTGTGCCGAACGCTTGATTCATCTCTGCTGACCGACTCTCCCTTTCCTCTCCCTCTTCTCTTTTCTACTCTCCTCTATGTCTAGTCTAATCGCCATTCTCTCCCTCTCTTTCTTACATTCTCTCGCACGCACGCACTTCTTAATCGCTACGGAGCATGTTAAGTAACTACCTTATCTCTGTCGAAAAATAGGACATCGTGTTCGCGCTACTCGATCGGTTCCTTGCTGGTCGCGCGCGTGTCTCGACACCACCGTGCGCTTCCGAGTTTCTCTCCCGCAAGGTCTCGTATACGTATCTGGCAAAAACGAGGAGTACGAAAAGACACGAAGGAAACACCGATGTCGGCTCTCACTCCCGACGACCCGTCGGGCGTCCTGGGGAAAAGTCGCGATCCCGGGGCGTCCCCGCTCGATTCCAATCCGCGCAAGCAACATCGATTGGCGATGCGTGCTTCTCTTTACAAATCCTAATCTCTCGATCGCGATCGCATCGACAAGCACACGTATGGCGTGGAGCCAGGCTGACATCTTGCGCGCTAACTCAACGTCGATCAAGACGCTGCCGCCGCCGCCGTCGTTGTCGTCGTCGTCGTCGTCGTCGTCCTGATCGTCGCACGGTGTCGGAATGATCGCGATCATCGCTCCGAGATATCCCGCCTTCCCCCGTCTTCGATAAAAAGTTAATCTCCGATATTCTAAAGAACACCACGGTTACAGGCGCGCGGCCGATAATTCTCTCTGTGCAAAATCGATCCGCGTGTTTCGTATATTCTTACGCTAAACTTCTAAGTCTTAAGCCGGCGTACCACAAGTGTTAATGTACAAGCCACACAAGCGAGTACCCGCAGGCAATGAGAAGAGGTGCCGCGCACCTCGTTGGCTACGTTGTTTACGCGCGCGTACGTGTGTGGTAAATACGTCCACGGGAGACAATCGGCAAGCGTCTCCGCCCAAAAGCCGACGTACGATCAACGCGCCAGAATACACGTGATGTTGTGTAGCCGAAAAAATTCGTTTGACAATCTTCTTGTGTGGAACCAAATGTGCACGATTGTACCTTATGTGAGTGAGGCAAAAAATTGTCGGTAATTGCACGACGCGCACCTGGCGCGTGAATGGACGAGAACTTTCGGAAACGCGAGCCGCTCCCGAGATCGCCTCTGAAAAGTCATCCCCACGAGCTTGATCGTAGCGCGATCGGTGTCGCGGTTGGATCGATCGTCATCTCTCGTTCTACGGCGATGCAGCGCAACCGGTTACCGCTGTTCATTCGTTGGAAATGAACCGTCGCCGATAATTTAACTTTATGGCAGCTTACAGGTAATGACGTTAATGGCATTAACGTAAGGAACGGAGGGGAGGGTCGTGTCTCCTCTCTTTCTCTCTCTCTCTCTTTCTCATTGTGGAAAATGTCAAATGGGGAATTGCGATGGGACGATGGCGGTAATAAAAAAGACACGTTTCGCGATCGCTGCGAACGAAGGCGATGCCGACACGTATGGTATAAAAGTTTTCTCTCCTTTTTTTTGGCCTTTTTCTTCTTATAGATAATGATGTGTCTCGCGTAACGAAGTGAACATCGCCGAACGGAATCGTGCAAAACAAATCCGGCCACAATAGGCGGCGACCGTCACCGATAAAAACAATCTATAAGTAGCGGCAACAACTGCAAGACAGTAGGGTTTCTTTTTGTATGCTCTTTTTTTACCGTTCTCGTAGTATTCTCACTCTCTCTCTCTCTCCATCGACAAGTCCTCGTTTGTCTCCATCACGTTCTCGCTCTTCCTCTTTTTCTCTATCCAATTTTATCTCGCCACGTCCGTACGCCTGGTTGAACGTCTTTGGTTGCGCCCAACGCGTCTCTCTCGGCTCATCCGTTATACGTCACCGCGCGAAAAAGTTCTCGTCGAGATTTTACGTCTACACGTTCGAGATACACGGGACAGTTGGGGGTGTTGCAAAGGTGGGAAGTGTCACGGTCACGCTCGAGGAGCCTTCGAATGGCTCGGCGTTTCCGGCCGAAGCGACAAGTTCTTTCGAGATGATTTCTTACTAGTCACTCGTACATAGTCATACACCGCTCGCAGTTTTACGCGGCCGCACGCAGATTAGCGCATTCCTTTTCGCTCTTTCATCTCTTTCTTTCTCTCTTCTCATCTTTTCATTCACTCGCTTGCTCTTTCTTTCTCTCTCTCTCTCTCCCTTTCTCTGTGTGGGATATAGAAAAAGATAAAAAAAAAGGCGAGGGATGTGTATCATGTCGGGCGAGAGGCTGAGAATGTATTATATACCCACTTGAGACGCACACTTACGCAATTACAGCGTCGCATGCGCGCGTGCGAGCGGTCGACACGGTAGACAATCGACCGCGAGAAAGATTCGCGACGAGGATCGGTTTTGCATTTCCTTCGGCTTCCTCCTCTCGTCTTGCGTTCGGTTTTGCTGGTCGAGCTCGCGCGGCAGGAACACAGGAGATTTCTCGTCAGCAGAGATAGTTGATCGCGATCACGTCCTGGTGTCTCAGCCGAGTCCGGCCCATTGCATGAAGTCGGGCACTTCCCTCACAGGCACGTCCCTGGCCAAAGCCTTCACCCTGAGGTTGCGATCCTCGGTGAGCAGGACCACCTCCCGTCTCAAACGCCGCGGTTGTCCCTCGTCTGCTGTGGCAATAGTCAAAGTTCCATTTTTTATCGACCTCCCGCTACCAAATGCGACTATCTTTCGTTTGGGTGTTCTTTGATTAATTTAGAGTAGTAAGGTATCTCTCCCTCCCTGAATATTCTTTGATGAAATTCTCGAGGAGGAACAGTCTCATTTTTTTGGGCGAATCTAAGTTTAGAAGAAATGAAAAACTCTTTCTCTTGGTTATTTGACAAATTTAGTCGGTAAAAAAATTCCTCTCAAGATGCTTTCGGACTAGACTAGGATAGAATCGCAGAGACTTCGATATTGCAGAGGCAATTCGAGCGGCGACGATGCGAATCGATTGTCGTGCGCGAACGAAAAGTTCAATCGAAACGGTACTACGAAACCCAGAAGAACGTTCAACAACGCGATTTAGCCGCTCGCTTTGAGAAAACAGACACACATACCTGCGTTAGCTTGGTCTTTGCTGCTGATTCTGCAGAGGCTGAGGCACGTAGTCAATATCCTGTCGTCGTTCCGTGTCAGTCCATCCTAGAACAAAATGCCCGAAATTCGTCGTGTACCGATGAAGTCGCAGATAATCGCGTTCCGTTTCATTTGCGACGAGGAACGCTCAGGACCGGCTTCGGGATTCGTCACAGAGGCCGCCATTAAAATTTGAGTGCTCGCTTCGAGCACGCCGTCGTGCTATTCGACGTGTCAGCGCGCCAAGTGAGCGGGCAAGGTGGCGATAGACTGCGAAAAGTCTTTTGCACGTACATCACGTGGGTGTTCCCGGGTACTCGGCTCGTTATCATAACATTCGCGCTTCAATGAACATCGTCCGCATGCGACTACCGTCTTTCTATTTCTCTTTCTCTCTCTTTTTCCCGACGCCATTGATCTTTGGGGACTAGAAACGACCGTTCGACATTTGTACGGTCGTCTTTCTGTATATAGCTGTTAGAATCGAGCGAATGTCAAAATCCATTCGCTTTATCGCGTCGTGCTTGTCGTGTAGGCCGCAGGCGTCCAGATACGGGAATCGCGGCGACAGTAACGAGCCTTCGATAATTTGTGCGCCCGGACTGCGATTGTCGGGACGGGTTTTAATCGCGTGTCACCGGCGTCTCTTCTTTTTCTCTCTCGACAGAGGAAGTAAATTGGCGCGATGGGCAAAGTTATACGATGCTTGTTTAATCGCGACGGTATTTCGAGCAATATCCGGTAGAAATTCAAATAAAGTCAGAGAAGAAAAATCTATATGTGTGTGTGTGTGTATACGTGTATATATGTGTATATATATATATATATATATATATATATATATATATATATATATATATATATATAAAATAAAATGTGTTCGCCTGTTTCCTATAAAGTTCTAAACCCTTTGACCGATCTAGACCAAATATTGCATAGTTATTTTTTAGGATGCTACGGAAAATATAGGCTATCATATATATAAAACATGAACACCCTAACCCTTCTCTTCGATTTCATCCCCTTGACATTTTGTGATAACGCCGTGTAGTAGTATATAGCTGGTATTGCATAAAACAGAGAAGAGAAATATTGAAAAGAGCTGAAGCGAAGTATTGTATCGTTTCTGCGCTTGGGTCTCGTTGAGAGACGGCGAAATTCGCGAGAAGAGTTTTTCGGTTAAGCGTTAAAGACTCCAGTTAAAAATACAAAACGGCGAAGGATCAAGGCTCATCGAGACGCTCATTCTAAGCCGCGCGGTCAACGATCGATGCAAATTCGCCTTCTAAATACCAGCGCCGAGTACAGTTACTCAAGCAGCCAATGTAAGCGTATCGAATCGCCGGGGTCTCGCTTCTCTCTTACCTTGTCGACGTCTTCCTCCACCGTAAAAGTGCTGGATGTGAGAACGGTGCCTCTCGTGGTTAAGCACCGGATCGCCGGATTTCGGCTTCTGGCGAAGGCCAATGCCGCCTTGGCGCTCTCAGCCACTCGCGCCACATGTTCAGGATTCAGTGCCGCCCTCGACGCCGGTGGACAATCTCTCGCATCGGCGCCTCGAGCCAAACCTTCTAGTTCATTTAGCACTGCAACAAAAAGCATCATTTCCGTCCGTTAACGACGCATAAGGGCTCGATTGCGATGTACTTATTTTCCGCAATGTCGTAAGTTACTCGCGTAACAACGTCGCTTAGACTTGTCGACTTTTTGAATCACGAAATAGCGTCCTTTGCAAAGGTACCTTTAATGTAATTCGTAATTTTAAATATTTTATTATAGCAAAGAGAGAAAGAGAGAGAGAGAGAAAGAGAAATTCGCATTTGCATTCGTATTACGAATGGATGCACGCTTATATACATTCGCTTGAAAAACTGGTTCGAAACTTCCCACATCTCTCTCTTTCTCTCTCTCTCTTTCTCTCTCTCTCTCTCTCTCTCTCTCTCTCTCTCTCGTGGTGTAAAAACGGTTTGCTGCAAATTAGGATCGTTTTCCCTCGGTAAAAAAAGAATCGCTCTCGCGAAGGATCTCAGAGAGAAGTCGTTTCTATGACTACCGCGGCGCATCCTTGCGCGCACGTGCTCCCCCGACGGCATCGATCTCGTCTTCGCGGTCGAGATTGAGGGAAACGAACGGGGTGGCAACGCGCTGCTGAGGCAAAGGACCATCACCGATGACCGCGTACAAAAGCCACTCTCCCTCTCTCTCTCTCTCTCTTTCTCTCCCCGACGATCGGCGCCGCGATCACCGTGGATATCGCCCACGTACCGATCGCAGCTAGGAGGCGGACGATACGCCACCGCCGCCGACGCCGACATCGGGCCAATCGCGGGCGTTTCAGGCCGCATACATGCATTCATGTATGAGCCGTGAGAACCTAACTGTGAACACTCACCGTTGCTCACCATCGGAGCCAGACGGGCCCGTGGCTGGCCGGCTGGTTGGCCGGTCGGCCAGCCGACGGGGTCAAAGGGCAACGCCGGCCGATTTTGCATGATGGCGCACTTTCGTTTTTCGGCCCCACGACCACCGCGCGAATGACAAAAAGGAAAGGGAGAATGCACGAGCAGCGAGGAGGGCTCTTGCCTAAGAAAGACTCCAAGAGAAAGAGGCCCCCTTTTGTTAAGGAACTGTGTAAATCGACGCGGAGATGAAAAGAGGAGGCGCGCGATGAAGAGCAGTCCGGACTCGATATCGCGTCGCGCGTCGTTTATTATGTCACATCCTTTAATCCATTATCTCCGCGCGCAAAGCGACGACGTTGAATTCTTTCGGCGGGAGGATCATTGTCGAGTTGCCCGAGAGAGAAAAGTGAGAGAGAGAGAGAAAGAGAGAGGAGCTTTATCGACTCCATTCGCCACAGATTGCCGGCGTACACACGCGCGCTCGCGCTCGCGCCTACGGGGATGCAATCTACGGAAAATGCAAATAGGAGATTCAGCAAACTTCCCCCGACTCAATAAATTAACCGGCTGCCAGCCTTATCCTCCTTCCAGACCGGCCCCGTAGTAGACAAGGGCGGTCGGCGGTGGATGAAGTCCGCGAGACGGGGGTGCCAAGCGGAAATGGAAAGAATAACTGCCAAGCGAGAGAATACGGAAAACGCCGTTATTTATTACCCGGGACTGCCGACGTCGTTTATCATTACGCGATAAATAATTATTTCGTCGCCGAGAAACGTGCGTTGCAACCGAGTCGCTCGAAGAACGTCGTGGACAGAATTGAGGAAACTTCGTCGCGCGAGGAGGCAAGTGAAACTTGAAGGGGAACGATCTTGAAATTTTAACCAACTCATTTCTTGCCCCTGACACGTAGGACCATCTGCCATCAAACTTTTTTATCACGCAAGGTACTTCTCTCCTTGTGAGTCTTGCTTTCTCAGACATGTTCCTGTTTCATCCGCGGGCATATCTTGCGGTTTCTTCATATATCACGAAACTCGTGGAGAATATCGTCAGAGAGTCCAGCTAACAACGCGATGATCAGTCGTGACCAATCGATGATCGCGATAATCCCCCCGCTTTTGCCACGAAAACCCACGAGTCGACGCGACTCGCGCGTCCTTGCCCCATCGCGACGGCCGCGACCTAGGTTTCGCCTGACACGCGCCTCCGGCACTCGATTCGCGGCTCTTCCGTCAGGAGAACGATGACGAGGATCCCATGACAAAATAGGAGGACGCGCACGGTGACGCAAACTTCCGCGAGGCACCGCGTTCGGATTGGCACCGTGAATCGATTTTGCTGAATCGACGATTGGATCAGCGCTAATTGGCGATAGCAATGATGATTGATGAGCCTTTCGATTTCCAATGGCCTTGAACCTTGGCACTCGCCTTGTCTTGAATCGAGCGCCATGCGAGCGAGCGTCTTCTCAGCGTGTCCAACTTTCGCGATCTCCTCAAGCAGAGAGATCTTCGTCAATCCGACGTTTCGAAAAAAAGGGAATCGATCTCTCTGTGTGACAAATGACTCGACAAATTTAGCTGTTACCATTTTGACACACACACACACATATACAGAGAGAGAGAGAGAGAGAGAGAGAGAGAGAGAGAGAGAAATGTCCGTAATGCGTGCACGACACGTACACGTTGAGCATGAGATAACTCAAACACACGATTGCTGTACGGTAACGGACGGCCGGACAGACTCGAAATGAATATATCACGAGGAATTAAAAGCCTGAGCGGATAAGATATACGCGCCTGGCAATAAATGTTCCGAATGCACCGTCCTATCGTCACGCCCGTAACTCCAGACGCGTTTACCGCACAGCACCGTGAAAATGTCAGCCGCGCCGTGGAAGATTGTAAATTTATCGCTGATTGCGTCTCGCTGAGTAGCGAGTATCTATAAACCCGCCATTAAAAAAAAAGATACAACCGGTCGTTCTCGTCGATGCTGTGCGTCATCGTCGTTGTCGTCATCTACCTGACGATTGACGGAAAGCAGCGTCTCCGTGAAAGACAATGGCGTCAAGACAAAGTCTTGGATCTCAAAATGTGGCGCGAGGTCTCGATTTATTCGGTCAAACCGACCCCATCCGTATAATGGAATTCCTCGGTGCGAATTCACTTATTTACGAGAGAGCTAAGAGTAGCTTTGAAAGGTATTTCTGAAAAGTCTGTTCTAGTATGCGTATGTGTGTGAAGCGCAGTGGATCGAAGTTGGAAGCGAACTCCCGAATTGCACGGATATAAAAGTACCGCGACGTTTCTAATTGATTCACGATTACAGCGCAATTACTCTTCCACAAATATCTCCTTGGAATAGCACGCGCTTTGTTATTCGTTGCGATACGGTAGTACGATTACCGCTATCTAGATTCGCCGTCGCGCCCGACAGTGTTCATCGAAGCGAATAATAATTAACGGGTTCTAATGACGCGGTAAAACGCTTAAGCCACAGGATTTAGCTGGAGCGAGACAGGAGAGCGAAGGTGCCGTAATCACGGGACTTGTCGCGCGAATTCGACCAGACTTTCCCCGAAACACGAAACCTTAGATCGACGAAACACGAAACCCTATCGATTACAAGGTGATTCTCGATGCGGAACGTCGCGCGATGATCTCGACTTTTTATTCGTGGTGTATTCCGTTCATATTCCACGGTTAATTCCACAATAGCCTCTCTATAAAACACGCGTCTGCGCGCGACTCACCGCAATTCGTCAATGCCTCATTTGCAATTTTAAGCGCTCTCTTGAAATTCGTGTAAGACTCGCGTGGACTTCATTTGCATAAATACTGGGGCACTGTTATATTTACATAGCGGGACGCAATATGACGGGCACACTCTAACCGGAATGCGCTCCGGATCGCGGGACTCTGAGTGCGACGACGTCGACTCCGGGACCGTCGTGAATTCGTTCGTGAATCCCGACGCGGGACCGTTAAGGAAAGCGCGCCCTGACAATGGCGCGGCCGCGACCGGCCTCTGTCGAAGGATTGCTCAACGTTAATTGGAGCGGAGGAATCGGCTCGCATTCCTCTGTCGGCATCATCATCCGCCGTGGAGCTGACGCAAGCGCCATTAATGGCCGTGTCAGTCCAGAGTTCGATCCGATCGGACAAAGCCGCGCTTCGTCGCCGGTAACCGACGACGACGATGACGACGATGACGACGATGAAGACGGTGATGACGATAACGACAACGACGACGACGGTGATGAGCGCCAGGGGATAAATGGGACAATTCATTCTCACGAGAGGCGAAAGGGAGGGACGGAAGAGGGAGGTTCCGCGGCAGGTGATGTGTAATGACGATGACCCAATGAACTATCCTCCGCTAGGAATCGGCGGCGATCGTCCGATGGCGAGTCCGCGATGGCGGTGAACGTCGCGCTGTCATCCTCGTCGTAGGAAACGAGGCGAGTCGAAAGACTCTCCGCTGACTCGCGATTGCTTCGACCCGAGACACGCGATCCGGCCGCAGGTAACAGTATTATTTGGAATCAAATCTTGGAAAAATGCTTTTGGTCATCGTCGATATTTTCGAAATTAAGCCCGCGAAGCTAATTGGGACGACACGATGCAACAAATAGCGAGTCACGTAGGGCGTCTCCGGCGAAGGCAACGCCAAGACGAAATTGCCAAAGGCAATATCCACCTTCTTATCAATGATTCGCGATGGTGGCGGAGATTGCGATAGTACACTTGTCGGAATCGTCTCGCAACGGCGAGTGTTTCCAATCCCCGCGGCAGATAGATTCCCGCAACCGATAGATTTTTACGAGCCGAACGAGACAACGAGGTGGAACTAAATTTACGATACATTCGGCCAGGTGTCGATTCGAAGCCGGATTTTCACTCAAGCGGTAAACATAAGTCTCAGTCACCGTCGAAAAGAAAGAGGAAGAGAAAAAGAGAGAGATACGAGATCTTCGCGTTATTTATCGCCGATTTCACGCGTCGCTCTTTCGCACGAAAGGGAGTATTATGCCGAAACCGCGGCGAGATCCACCTTTCCCGCAAGATAATCAACGACCTTTGCTCGAAAAAGTGCTTGCGAGGTCGGAGGTCAAACGGCATGTATATGCCCCTAGCGAATGTGCCACGTGAGACTCGTCGTCGTCGCCGTCATCGTCGCCGTCGTCGCTGTCGTCGATCTCTTGACTCTCCTTTCGCCCCCCTGCTCCCTCCTTCTCTGCCCTCACTCGTGACGACGAACGCGTTGAGATTTTGTTTTCGCTTACCGACAAGTGGCACCATGAGACTATAGATGGGCTGCGCGCCGGAAGTGGCCCTGGCGATGATCTGCAGCTGCGGCAAGTAGTCGATGAAGCAGTTCGTGTCCGGCACCAATTGCCTCGGTCTCACCTCGATCTCCACCGACACCGAGGACTTCTGCAAGATCGCCTAAACATTCCAAAGAAAGACGCGGATCGTTAAACGCAGAGCTAAGCTTGAGTGTAGTTCCAGCTCGCATCGGGCTGGAATATAGTAGGTGCGTTATGTACAGGTGGAAGAGAGGAGAGAGAATTAAGATCGATCAGGGCGATGTTATCTCGGCACGGCCGTAATTAATGCGGACGACATCGGAGATATTCCGATATTCCGCGGCGTTATCTCAATTCTCTGTGAATCAATAGCCGGGCCATTTGCAACCGCACAGCCGAGCGATCATCTCGACCTGCATCCATCTTCGCGATTCTCCTCCTCCTCTTTCTCCTGCTCTCTTGAGGCCAAGAGAGAGAGAGAGAGAGAGAGATGCGCCGCGATGCAGCTCCGTGTGCGAGCCGTGTACGAGCGCGCGCTGCATGCACCTTCCGCGCGCGCAGGGAGGCGCGTGTGCGTGCGTGTCGGAGCGCAGGATGCGGCGGAAGACGCATTATCTTCCAATTGAATCCCACGTATGCGGACGGTGCCTTCGCGAGAGGCAGAGTGGCGCGCACACACCGGCTACGAGAACACAATGTCGGCTCGCCGGCATAACGTGAATGCCGAGTAACCATTGTTGCGACGGAGGCGCTACGAACGTAACGAGGTCCCTGGATGTTGCTTCCCTTCGTGGGACGATGATCGATACGCGGGGGACGACTCCGGGGTTCGTCGTGAGAACTCACGTTCGAAAATATGAGAGAGCAAGGCGAAGAGGCGAAGGGGAGGAAGTGAAGGAGAAGGTGCGCGACCTGCGCTCGACGAGTGTCGTTTTTGAGATGTCAAAGCGCGATTCACCGGTGCTCCGATCGTGGAGACGTTTCCTTCATTAGAATGCTAAAGTATTCGCCTACCTGCTATCTTAGTTCATTAACATGCTTCGAGTTGTGATTTAAGTTGCTTACACCGCGGCGTCTACTTTTGAGCGGTATAATAAATGCGAGAGCGGCTGTTAGTAAGACTCGCGTTCTTCACTATTTTCTATGGTCCCGCATATAATTACGAAGCCGGGGGGCAGTTTATCGACTAAATAAGGACTGATTGTGCCGCAGAAATGATGCGCAATGTCGGCGCATGGCGACAGTCGCGCGATTTTCGGAAGATCAACCGGTCGTATTTGTGAGATTCCTAATCGAGTCGCCTCTGAACGCGTGTATCGTAATAAAATCGAACGGATTCTAAAAAAAAGGTATAAAAATAATCCTCGTATAAATTAAGTAACTTCTCAAGCCGGACATTCTTCTGGGGTCGTGAGGGGTTCGAGGACCTCGCGAAAGAGGGTTAGAGAGAGAGAGAGAAAAAAGGGGAGAGAAGGAGATATAGTCCTGGCAGTCGGTACGATTATCCACAACGGTATCTCGAGAATTATTCAAATTCGGGCTTCTCCGAGATATCGGTTTAACACTATGTCCGCGATGCGGCACGTCGCACGAGTCGGCGAAAAGCATGCGCGGAATCCGAAGACGAGCCTAATTGCTCGTGGGAGCACACGGACGGAATGCAAAACTAGAGAGGTTCGTGCACGCGCGATTCCGTGACGTCGTCAGGCCGCGCCAAACCGCACCGCACCGCACCGCACCGCAGAGCGCGCTATGCCGCAACGTGGTGTATGCGAATGTCATACACGTGTCGGCAGCGGGATACATCGACGTCCTATTCTCGGCGCATCCCGTCTCTCTGCCGGCGTATTACTCGCAATTTCCATTCCGTGAAAGGGGTAAGAAACGCCGCCGGCGGGACGGGTCTGCCCATTTTTCGGCGCGAAGCCGCGGACGAGAGCACAAAGAAGTCCGGCGAGCAAACGTTCTCTCGTTCGAATTTGCAAAGACTCTCCCACCGGGACTCTATGATCTATTTATAAGCGAGGGTGGTGAAAAAAAGGAGGACAATAAAAATGTATCTGTATGCAAGAACGGCGCGCGGATTTATCACGACGGACGGAAGCGAGATCCAAAGGAGGATGCGCTCGCGAATAATTCCATGGCTTGGCCATAAAGACAGACAGAGAGAGAGAGAGAGAGAGAGAGAGAGAGAGAGAGAGAGAGAGAGAGACTCGAGGTTTAGGTGCGTTTATTTGCGCGAGCGCGCATCGTCGATTATACACATCTTCCGTTTTATAAATAATTCATTGTCCAGTCCGTACTAACGACAGCCCCGTACGACGTTAAGCGGCTCGTTCCCACAGTGTCTGTCTCCGGATCCCGGGCGTACTTTCTCTTCATTTTTCGTTGGTCCACGATCAACGTACTGGGATCCTTCGCAACAGGCTCGTCCAAAAATCCACCGGGGATTTCTGGCAATCTGTAATTATGTAAAGGCGGCTAATGGCATGCAAATTTTTCTCTAAATAACCTGGTATCTCCGAAGGATCTGTTCGATTACGCTCGACAGAGAGAGAGAGAGAGAGAGAGAGAGAGAGAGAGAGAGAGAGAGAAAGAAAGAGAGAGAGAAGAGGGAGAGAGAAAGGAAAGAGAGGGGGAGACGAGTACCTCGTTGGCGAGACGCTGACGTTGGCGCGCTCGTCTAAAATACACGACTCCGTGAATGAATGGGAACAACAGCTGCTTAGATATTCAGATAGATCTAGCAGGTATAATCGTGGACGCGTACTCGGGACGGGGGCCCGGTTCTAATTACGGAGACACAAGCGTCGAGTTGAACGTTCTGCGAAGGGTGTCACGACAAGGAAAATGAGATTCGTCCGGGCGTGACGCTTGCGGAGCGCAATTTTCCAGCGAAATTACGCGGCCGATGCGCGGCCGCGGGGCGATGACAAGCGGTGTAAAGCGGAACGCATCCGTTCGTAAAATCCGGGGGTATACGCTAATTCAACAGAGCGTGTCGTTTGTTACGCGAGAGACGCTCGCAATTTTTTCCTCGCCTCCGGCCGTAACTCACGCTCTATCTAATCGCGTAGTATCATCGCGCGAGACAAACGGCATCGCCGCCGTGTCGCGGGAGCATATTCTTTCGGAATTCAACGCGCTGCTCCCCCTCGCTGAGTCCCGTCTCTCATTACGGCGCGCTGTGCGTGCGACAACGGCGTAAAAAGCCTGAGGAATTTACTCCCGTTTAAAGTATTCGTGAATTCCTAAACGATGTGGCGTGTACCGTTGCACACTCCCGCGAACACGTACCGCCGTTCCCTGTACCTCTCTCCTTCTCTCTCTTTCTCTCTCTCTCTCTCTCTCTCTCTCTCTCCATCTTCCTTTATTTCTCTCCCTCTTTGCTCGCGCGGTTCTCGTCACTTTTTTTCCCTCCGTAGGCCCGGTTGAACCTCCTCGCACCTCGCGCCTCGCACCTCGACGAGAGCTGCTCGGTCTGCTCGTGAGAACCCTCGTTGAATCACGCATCGCGGCCCCTACGCCCGCGCATATTAAGCGCACACCGACACGGGCCTTCACACGGTCGAGCGGGCCCGCGCCCCGTAACAACATTGTAAATGCGCAACACTCGCGGAAACGTACCTGGTAACCGTCGGGGACAGGTTCGCAGATCGTCCGGCGGGACCGGCGAGGAACGTGCGCGCGTGCTCGTGCCGCGCTCGAGCGCGGAATAACGCTTTTCTGCGGGAGAGGAAGACGGAGTCATCGACTCCGTTCTTTTTCTCAGCGTCGCCGGGTGCGCGAAACGTCCCCGAGACCGACGATCGAGATTTTCGGCCCGAGGGTCCCCTCCACTGATCGCGGACAACTCTTTCGCGGCGCGAGACGAGAGAGGCACGTTATTTCAGTCAGACTTGGCGAATTGCTTTTTTTTTTTGCAAAACGTGCTCGGGGGGATATTGCAACGTTCTCTCGGATAACCGTTCTCATCATAATGGAGAATTGATCCCGCGAGAAATCGAAGTAACTTCCAACAAGTAGGTTACGCCAAGAGTGTTGTAATATTTCTGGAGTCGAAGCACTGAATAAATGAAGCGGCAGAAGCACGAATGGAAGACGGAATATCAGATTCCGAGAGGATCCCCGCACGACGCTACGGATGCTCCTGAATAATATATCGTTGACCGGAAAAGATGGACCGATAGGTATTGGTGCGCGCGCGCATACACACATACACAGTCCCAATATAGCATCGCGTACGCGAACGCAAGCGTAAGTTCCGTGCAGCACCTTTAAGAGCTAGAAAGACACAAATAGAATCGAGTCTATTATATCTTCCAAAAGGACCAAGAAAGCTCCCTCGGGACGCCACATCGATGGACGAAGGTGAGCATGAAAATTTGCCGGTAGAAGTAAACGAGTCGCACAGCATATCGCCAAAGAGAATAAGGAGACGCGAGCGATTAGTGGTAAATGTTATAGCCGGGCGAGCACGTGGGCAGAGGATGAAAGTCGATATTTTCCATGAGTCAAGAAAATCACTCTCGATGAACGAGGTCGAGAGCCATTACCGGCGACGTCGTACGCCCATCGGGAGTGCACGTTGCCATAAATCAGACGCGTGAGCCAGCCTCACCGGTCGCCAACGATCCGCGTGTATCTGTTGCCCCATAATCGTTACATCTGTTACATCGTAATCGTTATCGTTTCAATTATCCGCGTACCTGGGCCTGCCGAGGGAGACAGCGGAGTGAGAGCGAGCGAGAGACAACGTAGACCGACTCGCGCAGGTGCAAAGCGCGGACGCGCGCGTTCCCCTCGTGTGCAGTCGCGCATCCGCATAATTCTCGCATTACACCGAGGGTTAAGACGTTTCCCATAAGGGAGGCGGCGCATTGGCCGAGTGGCGATTTTATTGACTCGACCACGTTACCACGTGGCGGAACCGTGGCGCGACAGGTAACGTGTTGTCAACGTGTGCGCCGCCGCCGCCGCCGCCGCCGCTGCCGTCGCCGTCGAGAGCGGGCCGAAGAGGAATCCCAAGTGCCGCGGTAAATCGCGGCCGATACGATCTTAAACCGCCCATTCTGCCCGCGTATCGCCGTATACGTATTTCGCGTCGCGTACTTGGGCCTTCCCGCCCCGGGAGTTATG